CCTCCTCCTCCTCCTCTCATTTCTCCCCAAGCAAAGCTCAACTCTACCCATGGATTAGTTATGCAGCTCTGGGCGTCTTGCGTCCTCCTTGGCGTGACATGAAACGACGACGACGACGACCATGATCAAGGCTCTCCACTGATTCGCCGACTGACTACGCTGATCGCTTCTTTTGCACCTGGCACACATGAAGTCTTTGCTTCGCACACACCTCCATCGTGCTCGAAAGGCCCTCGCCAGAAGACTGCACACTGAGACCAACTGCTCCTGCAACACATCCCATCTCACCATCCTCTCACCTTTACTCAATCACTAACTCAGAGGTGTGCAATGGACGCTGGGAGTGGTCCCTAATGCACTCGTTCGTCTAAGCAACACTTCAATGTCCAAGGCACGAGAGCCGCCTCGCGTTGCACGTCACTGAGTGGAGCGGTCAGACAGAGGGAAGGGGTGGGTGAAAAGGGTGCGTGTGCAAGAGGTTGGGTGAAAGGATGAGAGGTAGAAGGTGAGCCAGTGCATGTAGACCGGCACCACGAAGAGGATTGGCTTGGGTGGAGGAGGTGTTGCAAGAGGGGGAAGGTGAGCGCAATGTGGTGGTGGTGGTTGCGGCGGCGGCGGCGGTCGCGATGACTGACATGGTTCGCCTGTCGATGGGTGGATAATTGGAGGGAGGAAATAGCTCAACCTGTTGACGCACCGCGAAGTTGTGCAGACGAGGGCCCTGTAATGGGTCGGTTTTGAAGTGTGACTGTGAGCTAGTCGATGTTGAATTGGAGAAGGCGGAATGTCACCTAGGAGGTGCGAGGAAGGTGGACGGAGTGACGAGCTGATGAGTGTGAGGTTGAGGAGAAATGTGGCATATATAATGCGGTGGAGGTTTAATACTAACTAATGCCTGTAGCCAAATTCGCATGTGCTTCATCGCCTGACATTTTAATAAAAATTTTCCGCCAAAGTCTAACATCAAATAGATTTGATGCAAATTAAGATCAGGCAGCGGATTTATTGTATATGATATTATCAACCTTGTAGAACTGTAGCCTGCCATTTAGTGAAGCTGTCTTACTACCGTTGATTGTGATTCTACGATATTTGGACTGCAGTAGATAGAAAAACCCGAACAGCGGCTCGTTTACTAGTGCATTAATCTTTTGGCGGTGGTTTGATAATCCCAACTGCAGTCCGCGCTGAATGGAATTTGCAAATCAAATCTACTTTTGCCATTTTGACACCATAAACCAAACATTTATAGTACGGCAAAAGAGTTGCTGATAAAGACCCAAATTTGGAATCTGACTTACTGAAATATCGTCACGTGGGAGGCGCAACGACAGCATGACTCGGTGACTGTAACGCGTTCGGTAACATTTTCTCGGAGTTTCAAAATCTTCAAACATCCTTTAGTGTAGGAAGCGGTAATTAGTGAGGCTTTTAAACTTATAATTAAGCATTTTGCAGTCTTGTATCAGCGAAGTCATTATTTACCAAAAAAGCCTATTTATTTAAGAATGTATGGCGCACTGAATTGAAAAGCCTACAAATTTGTGTACTTTTTTCTTGCGAATGGATATAAGGCAGAAGTGAATGGCATTGAGTAGAGATTTCCCGTTGTAATATAAAATCGGCTCGTTAGCTGTAAATGTCCCAATGAACATACAACAAGAATCGTTTGGAGCTGCAGCAGCAGGTCTACAGCTTTCCAGCGCTGAGCGTTCATTTATAGGCAAAGCAGCTTTGTGTCTGT